GAAGGCCAGTCGGTTTCAGAGATTTCAGCTCGCTGTGCCCTGCCTGTGATACGTCCTCCCCCTTCCAGGAGACATGATTTATGTCTTGGTTTTGCACCAAGACAGTCTAAGGGGGGATTATCACTTGAGGATTTATAATAATGCACAGAGTCTACTTTCTTGGTCATGTTATCTGTGCTCCTTAGCTGTGTACTAGCTTGCTCATCGCCATTGTTTTGAATCAAAGGCAAGGTTGTTTCATTTCCACACAGTCCATTTACCTCCACGTTTACTTCTAAGCGATGAATTTTTGTCTCAGGCTGTGGAGCATTTGTATTTTCTGTTGTACAGTTCATTTGCTTTTGTGTATAAAAAGTCTTTTTTGTTTCCAAATAGCTGATAACTATTCGCTGATAGCTGCCAACATCTGCGAACAAATATAATCCTATAAAGTGGTTCTACATAGTGTGTAACTGTTCATATAGAGCTTTATTACATTTATTGCTAATGCAATCATATGGCACACTGAAATTTTAGATGCACTCATCATCAGAAAGGTTGCCGAGCCCTGCTCTACAGTAACAGCCAAGTTAGCTCTGTGAGTGACTTTGCTCCACGATGATTGGATGTGTTGTTGTATCTGTGGTCGAGGATGAATTATGACACGATGGGCACTAGAGCAGCATGCTAAAGAAAAAAAGGTCTACAGATGACAGAAATGTGTTTTTGGTCTATGTTGAACTTTTCTTTTGTGTGTCTTTGTGGTGGTTTTGCACCCATTTGTTTTATTTTTGTGTCTCCTTTCAGTCCATTTGAAGTGTTTGTGGTCGTTTTGAGACTCTGTGCAATCCTTTAGTATCATTTTGCATCCTTGTTTTCATTTTGTGTGCCTTCTCATCTCCAACATCTTTGTGTGTTTCTCTGTGGCTGTTTTGTGTCAGCTTGTGGTCGTTCAGTCTGCAACCATGTTTCATCTGCTTCATGCTTCTTTCAAGAAATTTCCACATCCACTTGTGTTTATTGTGTCTTCTTTTTCACTGGTTAACGTCTCTGTGATCAGTTTGTCTCCATTTCTGGTCCTTTGAATGTCTTTTTTGTTATTTTTATTTCACTTAACTTTACAAGAGGAAATATCACTTAATACGAAGGCCCTCAGACTTGGCCTGTGGCCTGCAGACCTTGGCAGTAATTGCTCGATGTCTGTGCTGATGTCAGGTCTCGGTAAGTTGTGTGAACTGATCAGGAACAAGACTTGTATTTACTAAAGCTGCTGCAGCAGCAACAGGAAATTAAATGAGAAAAACAGGAAATGGAAGAAATGAAAAACTGTATGAGCTCCAGCAGGGTTGTAAAAGTCTACTGGCTATGAGGCAGCAATGCCTGATCCACAAGCTGCTTACAGACTTACCCGAGAAGAGTTTAGGCTAAAAGTGAAGTGAGCGAGCCAGCGATGTGCCGAACAGTCCGAACATTGCTCTTCTAAAAATACGTCTTCTCTTTGTGATTATGGTTTAACTGAACCATTCCACATGCTTTTTGGATTCACAGCAACTTCCTGCTTTATGGCATGACCGTATTTTAAAGGAGGACTAATCTCTAAAATAGAAAAACATGAATTTGTAAGTTTGCTCACTCTCAAAGGACGAGACTGTAGACGTGCACAGGTTTAGAATGGACCACAGCAGCGGTCCCCAACCCCCGGGCCACAGACCGGGACCGGTGCGTGAGTCGTTTGGTACGGGGCCGGGAGAGTTGAGGCTCAGGTGATTTTCAGAGTTTTTATCGGTAACTCGGTTTCCCTGGGTCATTTCCCGTGTTGTAGTTGTGTTTTATTTTGAAAGAAATATTTACACGTTACCATAGCGACCAGAGAGCATTAAGGGGCAGAGAGGAGGATGTTACTCTCAGTGTTGTTGGCGCATTTCAGGAGGACGCTGCTAATAAAGTTACAGTGAATTCTCGTTTATTATTATATTTACAAAACACCACAGTTTTTGTCGCGGTCGTATCCACGAGACCTTAAAGACTCCGTGAAAATATGGTCTGACATTAAACCGGTCCGTGGCGGGGGAGCGCTGGACTACACGGCCATCAGCAAGAAGCCTGGTGAGAGGGTGACAACTGTTGGTGAGATTATTGCAAATGGACAAAATATAAATGACCATGAGCCACCCCGGGTCTGGAGCTCCATGCACGGTCTTGCCTCACAGGGTGAAAATGACCATGAGAAAGGTGGTGGTTAATAATCTGAAGGCAGTTGGGACGACAGTCACCATGAACCCCACTGGTAACACACTGCATGATTGAGAAGGCTTGGAAGAAAGTGCTGAGGAAACCAACATCGAGCTCTTTGGCACCAACTGGACGTTCTGGGTTTGAAGGAAGACGGCTCAAACGACAACCACAGTCAAGCACGGAGGCGAGGACATCGTCAGATTTTCTGTTAAGGATACAGGACAACTTGGCTGTAGGATGGAGCTGCATGGATTGAACTTGGATGAGAGCTATCTTCCCTCAGCCAGAACACTGAAGATGAGTTGATGAGTCTTTCAGCAAGACAGTGACCGAAGGCACCAAGGCAACAAAGCAGTGACTGAAGAAGAAGCACATAAAGGTCATGGCTTTGTCCAGACAGCTGAAGCTTGGAGTTGCTGAACAGCATCCAAGAAAGCTGAAGGATTGAGAGAGTTTCTGTAAAGAGGAGCCGGTCAGTCACCCTCCTGAGATGTGACCAACAACAGGAAGCATCTCACTGCTGTTCTTATCAGCGTGGGTTTGCCCACCAAGTTTAAGACACCGAGTCTGAATGCTTCCTCTAACTTTTATGTATATGTGGAGGCAATAAACAAAACACCAGGCTGAATATGAATACAAATGTATTCCACGCAGTGTTAGAATGAACCGCACGTGTGATGTGTGCGTGTCTGTGTGTAGCAGAGTGTAATATCATGTTTGGACACATCAGGCTGTGTGAGGAGTGATGACAGCAGATGCTCCTTTTCATTAATAACACAGTCTCTGTCCTCCCGCTGTGTTAGCTGCAGAAGATGTTCCTGCACTGTGTTCTGCGTGGATAATGAATGACTCCCATCAGCTAACTCGTTTACTCCTCTCCTCACTCCTGCTCGGCAGCTTCATAATTAAATTTCCTCGTCGGGACAGAAATGCTGTGGGCAGCTGGAAGCATCTGCACGGCCGCAGGCGGGCTGGAACGCTTCGGTCCGTCTGACAGGCGGTCAGCTGACACGTGTGGAGCTCGTGAACTCGTTTTAGGGAAGATTGACTTTATTCATTTTGAAGGACTGCAGCGCGCCTCATTAGTGCAGCTGCGGTGAAACGGTTACCTCACAGCAATGAGGTGCTGAGTTCAAACCTGCCAGGCGACAACCAGACAGTTTGTTGACATTTAAACGATTCTCTTTGAGGCGCTGTTCCCAGATTCACTTTCATTGCATTTTCATGCATTTTGCAAGTGCAGCTACCAAAAAGCAGAATTGCATTCAACTGTTAAACTGCGTGTAACTGACATGATGCGTCACAGTAAGCACATTTGAAGCAGATCGGTAGGCAAACAATGTCTGCCTTCCTCGCCTGATCACTGTCTACTGGTTCTGGTCCAGTAATGGTGGTTGGCTTTGGATTCGTTTGAGGTGTTGAGAAATGAAATGAAGCCAACACAGACATGCATTTCCTCTAATCGGCAATGAGACCGTGTCCAAAAGTGAGTCAATCCCCACAGAACCCCAGGTTTACAGGCTGGTACAACAAAATGGTTTTAGCATCTATGGCTGTACGCTCCCACCGCTGTCTTCAGCGTTCAGCTTGCAGCCTCTGCGCCTGTTTCAGAGCAGAAAGGTAAAATGTTTTCTTTCCTTCTGCTTCATTTTGTCTTTATTTACGAGACTAAAGCTGAATGCACGGCTGTTTATTACTTCGGGGAGAAGCTGCAGCCTAAACCCGACCTTTTCTTCAGAATTTGACAACACAACAGGTCTCCACTTTCATTAAAGTCTGCAGCACCACACGTTTCCTCAGCACTGATTCGCTGGGTCTTAATCAGCCATCGTTCGGTCCCGTCAATAAGGTTTAAATTAGACTTTGCAAGTGCTGCTGGTTTCCTGCTTTCTAATTCATACTGAATAATAAAAGGAGAAGCAACTCTGCGCCTGTGCTGCATTTTTGTTCTTTGTGCACAAAGACAAAACTGTCAAACGCTGATCATTCCGGCGTATGAGCGTCGAGTTATGCACTGACTGTCAGAGGAAAGGGATTACTGTCTGTTCCGAGTACTTCCAGCAGCGTTTTTGTGTTACAGGAATAGAAAAACCTGCATAAAAATCCCTGTGAGCTTTAAATGGGATTTAAATGGTCTCCTGACAGCAGGAGTCCAGCCGGAGTTTCCTCGGGCATCTGTTTATATCTGCGGGATGAAAAAGATTTCAGTGTGATGTCTCTGTCTGTTCAGCCGTCTCCCAGTCAGATCATAAACAAGGAAACGTATCTCTGATGCGAGACTCGCTCATGGACTTTGTCATGTTCGCTAAAATTGGACTCAAATTCATGTAAAGAGAGTAAATAAAACTAATGTATTCATTAACACTCACAC